TTGGCGATAGAATTAGTTTGGCAATCACCTATTTCAGCTGATCGCCAAAGTCTAGGGTTATAAAACAGGCGGGCATTCAAGACAGTGCGTTTATTGAGAACTCTCTTTGTATGATGAAAAATATTTATGTGATTTTTCTATAAGTGGCAACAAAACAAATGCAGGGAATTTCCCACTAGTTTCAGTTTGTGAATTTTAAAGTTACATAGTTTTGCAATTTATTAAAACTAAGTGTTATACCTTACGTATTACAAAGTAAGTATTAGATTTAGATTAAAATATTCTAGGCAAAGTAGTCTACTGTATTTATTTTGAGTTATTTAATTCATCTGAAAAGTTAGTAAAAAAAGTGAGATAAAATTTATAGTAGGAAAGAAGATCTTAAAGCATCAATGTTTATATATTTGTATTTTATCTTGATTTAATTTAACTCTCATGTAATTTATAATATTGGTTTAAAAAATTACAATTCTAATATGCTCAATGTAAATGTGGTTTGATTTTTAATCTCTTTAAAACCATAATAATTAAATAATTTTCCTAACTAATATATAATTATGATATGTGTAATTCAATACCAATGTATATATTTTTTTTAAAAGAAGTAACTTTCCTATTTTTTTTAAAGATTTATGACCTTAAAACAAGCTTTCGTCATCTATTTTTTATATAAATATATAGAGAAGAGGATATTGAACCCGGCTCAATTATTTTAATGCTGTTAACTATTGTTGGTATTTTATATCACCATGTTGCATCACTATTGCTACAAATCCTTTGAATAAATCGGGGATCACGTGGCTCTGTTTAAGTGAGCTATTTTTATTTCAACAAGTTGAAATTTATAAATCTTAAGTATCTTTTTGGTCATTACTGCTTCGCCTTTTAAATTAGGTGTCTAAAAAAATGCAAGTTTAGATCTTTTGTAAAACCCAGAACATGGGTTACGTAGGTACATTGAAAATAGTAGATTGGGTAGGTTAGACTAAGACAATCAAAATAATTCAGATAATCCTAAATATAAGCATTCTTCTTTTGCAACTCAACAACCCTTTCTCTAAAATTGAGTTCTACTTTCTCTCCAGATTTCTTTTTTAAAAAATTTTATCTTCATTTTTTTCAAGTGTTCCTCAACCTGATTCTAGCCATCTTAATTTTGATCTTCTTTTCCTATTCTTATATAACTTTCCTATCATGATTTTATAAGACATGTCTGTTTCTATCATTCTTTTGGCATGTCTTATCCACTGTATTTTGTTGACTTTGATAAATGTTATGATGTATTTTCATTCAACTAATTTTTCTATTTCATGATTGTATCTTTTCCTCCAAGTATTATTTTCATATTCAACTTTCAAAATTACTTAATATGTTTTCCTATTTGTTGGATTAACTCCAATTTTCAGATTCATATGTTATTATCAGGGCTCTGTCCAGGCCAAATTTACTACCGTTTAGCCGTACCTTTACAAATTCAATGTTAAGGAAAACGGTAGTTTCACAAAATACTTTTTCCTAAAATGTTATTGTTGTATCTCGTAAGAAATGATAAATCCATATTTTTGTGTTGATTTTGTAATATAATTTTTAATTTTCACAAATTGTGTCTAAATTTTCATAAAATAGGTACCTCTCAGAAAAATCTAGACAGATCCCTGATATTGACCCTATTAGGGTTTTATTTATCTGCATTTTACCTTTTCTTGAAAATGTACTTATTAGTTATCATTTTTGATCATATGCTGGGAAATGATTTGTATATCTTTAAATTTTAACTTTAAAAAATTGTTTCGAATTTTATCTGATAAATTGATTTTGATTCTGTTTTTTTTTTTTTTTTTTTTTTTTTTTTTTTTTTTTTTTTTTTTTTTTATCCTTAAGTTTTCCAGTTTCTAATTTTAAACATTTAAAAGTATTTATTTTTATGCAAAGATATTTATTACAAGGTTAACTGACAAAAAGAATTTAGTGCCTAGAAAAATGATGTTTATATAACAATTATTGCCTACAATTGCTGTCAATATGCCTGTCTAAATACTTTGGCATGTGGCCCTTCATTGGTCAATTTGCTGTGCATGTGGCCCTTCTCTCAAAAAGGTTGTGCACCCCTAGTTTATGGGCAAAATTTAATGCTTCAGATTCACTTTTATTCTCAGTGTATCAGCAAATCATGACACGGTGCATAATATTCAAGTACCACAACGAACGAATTTTAGATATAAATAAAGCATTGTAGTTCATATGCCTGCAACTAACCTAAACATCGCGATTCATATTCACTCAATTCTAAAATGTAACATTGTAGTTAGTTTTCACGTGTTTTAAAAATCAAACATGACTTGTTTTCACATGATTTTTTTTTTTAATTAAAAAATAACACATTGAAATTAGTAATCATGTGATTTAAAATCAGTTATTCAGATCCATACTTACGTGTATTAAAAATCAAATATCCTGACTCGTATTCAACGCAATAATTAAAACAGAAATCCAGATTCATTTTCACACTGTTTTAAAATTAAACATGATTTGAATTCACTGGATTTCAAGACATTGATGTTTAAAAGATAAATTTTGTCTCCGTTCTACTACCTAATGCAAAACATATTTAAAACCAGGCTCCCCCAGGTCCAGACCAAAGTGGTGGGCCTTCCTTAAAAGTGAGGCCCTTAGACCCTATGCCCTTTTGAACAAAACAAAAAAAAAAACAATAAAAATATTTATATAGTTTTAAAAAAAAAATTCATGTGATGAATAAGTCTGAAGCTACATGTGTCACAATTTAAATAACGGTAAGGAATCGCATCTTCAGTCTAATGCATGTGGATAAATTCCTGATGTGACAAACTTTTGAAAGTACAAACTGGGTCCATCTGCTAAACTTTTAAACCAAGTTGGCTCCTTTACAAGAGCCCCACCACCCCGCCCGTCAAAAAAAATGGGAAGAAAGATAGCAAAAATCTTTATGCAAAATTATACTTTATCTTTGCAATGATGAATTATAAAACAAACAAAAAAACACATTTGCAATAATGACATAATAAGCTTAAAATTCAGAGTTAAATAGACTTATTAATTTATACAAACTACGCTCTAGCGGCAAAATGTTTAAGGGGCCTTTAAAAATCATCTCTTCAACTGAAATGATACAACTTTTCAAAAATGAATTATGAAACATAAACATACTTAATATTGTGACATAATATGCATTAAATTTTGAGTTAACAAACTTATGCTCAGGAGGGGGGCACCTGCAAAATTTTGAGACCTAAGACCCCTTAAAAATCAGCACCCTCTAAAAATAAAAATACTTCTTCGCAAACCAATACTTCATCTCTGCAATAATGAATTATGATACCAAGAAATATATGTATAGTGGTAGCATAATATGCATTGCATTCTGAGTTAACAAACTTTTTTAATTGTACTGATAGATTGATTAACATGGGTCTTTGGGACACTGGTAAAATATGACTGACAAGGGATACTAGGGAAGTGTGACTCGCCAATTTTGAAATAAACTAGTGGGGATGTATGCCTTATGTAGAAAAATCGGTATTTTATACTTCAATGCAGACTATTAGTTATTGTAATTATCTCATACTCCAATTAATTTTGTGGTACCTTCACGTACTATATAATGCATATTTATTGTCAAAATTGATTTCTAAATTTTATATAACTGTAGTTTTTCAGAAAACCTTCCAAAAAATTTTCCCAATTAATTGAAGTATGTAATTGCAAATCAATTAATAATTAATTTGCTGCTTAATTTATTAATTTGCTAATTAATTAACCAATTAATTACAAGTTAATTAGAGTATGAGACAATTACAATGGCTAATAGTCTGCATTGAAGTAATAAAATACCAATTTTTCTACATACTGAATTATTTTTTATCTCTCACAGGACCTTCTATGGGCCGAAACGAATGTTGCCCTCTAAAATTATTCCTCATAAGGCATACATCCCACTAGTTTATTTCAAAATTGGCGAGTCACACTTCCCTAGTTTCCCTTGTGATTGAAAACCCAATGAATTCTAGATTATAGTAAACTTACTTTTTTTGGCTTACTAAATCCTTCATTCATTCATAACTCATTCCTTTAAATTATGGATTAAATTTAAATATAATTAAATTTAGTCAGCCATATTAATAAGAAGTTTATTTGGTACATAAATATTAATTAATTGTTTCATTGTTGTTAGTTTTATTTTAATATTATAAATTGTGCTTTTTAAATTTTCAGAAAGGAATTGTATTGAAATATAAAAGCTATGGAAGCCCCTGCAGCTAAAGGACCGATTCGTCGAATCACAAAAAATGATCTTTTAATTTTAGCATGCAACAAACGTAATGATCTACTGTTATATGAGTTGAACAGGACAAATTTTGGGTTTCAAAGATTTCTTCAAAATCAAGAATATTTGAAACAAGATGGTAAAATCGATTGTGATATTATGGCAACTCTCGTTCAAATAATCTATAATGTTTGCACTGTGAGTTTAAATAGACTGGAAGGTAGTCTTGTGAAATTTCTTGAAATGTTGAAGGATTGCAAAAAGTTTATTTTTGTTGATGTCCATGTCACAATAAATACACTTTTAATAGAAAAACATTCAACCAATTTAGTTACACTTACCACAAACTATTTGATTATTTTGCAAAAATTACTAAGGCATTGTGAGTGTAGAGAAATTATAGATGATGTTTTTCCGGCTCTACAGAACTACTTTAACACGATGCGGCTTCGAAAGTTGCAAAACTTAGCAGACATCAAAGCTCAGTTTGACATATTAAAACACAAAATCGAAAGATTTGATGACCCTAAGCCTGCATTGGAGGATTTAGATGAATTGGGTAAATTTCGAGAGCTCTCTATTGTACCTAGAGAAAATGATATAATAAATTGTGAAACTCCAGATTTACCACAAAATATTATTGATGGCCCTTACTCAAGTGTTAACCACTATTTAGCAGTTCACTTTCGCCTTACAAGAGAGGATATGCTTCGATCATTTCGTGAATGTGTTGCGCATTGTTTGAATTCGGATGAAACAGCACTCATTAGATCAGAGACCCAAAAATATGATAAAGTTCTTGTGGTACGTCCAGCGAAATATAAGCCTGAAGGTATATGCTGTACAATCGAAGTTTATTCATCCAAAGCGGTCAATTGGAAAGACTCTATTCTCTCACTACCTGGAAGTATGGTCTGTCTAACTCCAGACAAGTTTAATAAAGTAATATTTGCATCTGTCCAAGAGTTGAAAGCTCCCACCGGAAAAAGTGAAAAATGTACTATAAAACTCATTTTAGAAGATGACCGCTATGAAGATTCATTGTATGCAGATGTTCAATATCTAATGGTGGTTCCAAATGCGTATTTTGAATGCTATAAGCATGTATTGTCTGCTATAAAAAGCTTTAGTCCGAGCAGTTTTCCTTTGTCTGATTATCTTGTCTCTCTAGAAAGTAGTGAAGCTTCGCCTGAATACTTGAGAGATCCTGATAGCTTATTAGGTCGAAAGTATTCCCTTTGTGAAAATTGTGAGTATTCTTCTGAAGGCTGTGAAATTCCGGACAAGAATGAAGATTTGTGCAAAAAATTTGATCCGTTGCTTTATGATGAATGGCCATCAGCAGATAGTTTAAAATTAGATGAACACCAGTATGAAGCTTATAAATTAGCTTTGACTAATAAAGTAGCAATAATACAAGGCCCACCAGGCACAGGAAAAACATTCATGGGAAAGAAGATGGTGAAAGCTCTTTTAAAAAACACTAATCTTACTCCTATTATCATCTGCTGTATGACAAACCATGCTCTTGATCAGTTTCTTGAAGGTCTTTTGAAAGAAAATGTTGAAAACATTGTTAGACTCGGTAGTCAAAGCAAAAGTACAATTATGAAACCATACACTATGGATAACATAGTTTTGACTCATAAGCTTTATATGGAACAAGACAATTCTAATCGTATAACAGATCAGATAGCAAAATCCATCATAAAGAGGATGCAGAAATTTATGCCTCATATTTTAAATCCCGATGTTAGATATGGTGGTGAATATGATCCAGCACTTTTTGCCTTAAAAGACATATGTCGGGATTTGAATAATGATATAGAGTTGCTTGATTTCTGTAAAAACAAATATTTAGAAAGTTCTGCACTACAGGCTATCATTGATAGTAACAAAAAAGAAGAATTATTGTCAAAGTCTTCTTCACGTTGCAGTGAATTGACAGAAAATATTATGGAGTGGTTAGGATGTTCACGTAAATTAAAACTTTATGAAGAATGTGAAAAACGTTTCAATAAAATGAATGAGAAAAGTTTAAATATTACTCTGAAACATGAAAATATCTGGTCCTTGCACCTAACCAACAGGTTTGAACTTTTTTATTTGTGGCGAAAAAATTGTATGGAAATTTTAAAAAAAAATATTGTTGAAGAAAAAGAAGAGTATAAAAAATTAAAACAGTCATATTGTGGTAAAGGTTTTGACAGTTCTCTCAAAATTGAAGTATTGAAAAGTGCTCATATTGTTGGTGTAACAACTACTGGTGCTGCAAAATTTCGTGAATTGCTGTACTATGCCCAACCCTCTATTTTAGTTGTAGAGGAAGCAGCTGAAGTGCTTGAATCTCATACAATAGCTGCTCTTTTACCAAGCATTAAACACTTTATCCTAATTGGTGACCATAAACAATTAAGGCCACTGCCATCAGATCATGAACTAAGTGAAGTATATAATTTAAAAATATCAATGTTCGAAAGACTTTTTACGAACAATGTTCCTAATACAACTCTAGTGTCGCAACATCGTATGAAACCGTGTATTGCTGATCTCTTAGTTAATGATCATTTATACGAAATGTTGAAAAGTGATGAAAGTGTTTATAAATATAAGGAAATTAATGGTGTGAAATCTAGCGTCTTCTTTTTTGATCATGCTGAGAGAGAATCGGAAAGATCTTCTAGCACAAGTTCTTCTAATAAATTTGAAGCTGAAATTGCTGTAGCATTGGCAAAGTATTTCCAGGTCCAGTCGTATTCTCTTGATCGAATAACCATTCTTGCCACTTATGCTGCTCAAGTAAGCCTTATTCGAGACTTCCTTTTTAAAGCCGACTTAGAAGTTAAAATAACTACTGTTGACAATTATCAAGGTGAGGAAAATGATATCGTTATAGTGTCATTTGTTAGAAATAACAGAAATGGTGTTATTGGGTTTCTAAAAGAAAACAATAGAGTATGTGTTGCACTGTCTAGAGCAAAGATGGGCATGTTCTGTCTTGGTAACTTTAAAATGTATGCCGAGAAAAGCCCTCTTTGGAGCGCAATTTTACCCAAATTACAAGAGCAAGGAATGATAGGGGATAAAATTCCTTTACAATGTAGTCGACATGGAACTGAAACCTCTGTTCAAACTGAAGTTGAGATTTCTGAATTTATGCATCGAGGCTGCCAGCAACAATGCAACTTCAAACTCCCTTGTGGACATAATTGCATAAACAGATGTCATAATTTTGATGCTGATCACAAGCTTTATCAATGTCAGTTGCCTTGTGAAAAATTCATCGATGTAGATCGAATATGCCCCCGATTATGCTTCCAGCCTTGTAAGAGAGTAAAAAAGAATGCAATAACTCTTCCTTGTGGGCACAAATCCAGAACAGTTAATATTACAGGTTTTACTTGCCTTGAAGAGGTGCAAAAATTATTACCATGCAATCATCTGGTCACAGTAGCTTGCTGCGTGGACATAACTCAGTATAACTGTCCTTCTTTGGAGACAGTTATACTTCCATGTGGTCATACGAGTAAAGTTCCTTGTTTCAAAAAAGATAAAATAAGTGAAATTATCTGTCGTGAGAAGCGTCCTTTAATTTCACCTTGTGGTCACACGGTGGATGTGGCGTGTAATTTAGATTTGGATGGAAGTGATCTTCTGTCTTATTGCAATCGACTGTGTGGCATAATGCTGAATTGTGGGCATCTTTGTGAAGGTTATTGCCGGTTTTGTTTAGATTTTGGAATTCATGCACTTTGCACTGCAAAATGTGATCAAAAACTTCCATGTGGTCACCTTTGTAAAGGCTACTGTAACAGTCCTTGCCCTCCCTGTAAAGAACAGTGTGGATTGGTGTGCCCTCACGCTAATTCAAATAATAGCAGATGCATCAATAGCTGCTACAGACCATGCATTGAATGTAAGTTGCCATGTCAATTACGCTGTGACCATGTTAAATGTCCGAAACTTTGCTATCAAAAATGTACTGTAGAACCCTGTTCTATGAATTGCTCTCAAATCTTACCATGTGGGCATGAATGCATTGGGTTGTGTGGTGATCCATGTCCATATTTATGTCGTGTGTGTAATGAAAGTGACATTGAAAATGGTAATCCAAAAGTTGACCGCTACATTATGTTGATGGATTGTGACCATGTTATTGAAATGAAAGAGTTAATCAAACATATAGAGCAATGTTTAGAGTGTTTTGAATGGCCTAATTGTCCCTTATGTTCAAAGTCGATATATCAAAGCCTGCGCTTTAAGAATCATTTGATGAATGCTAAGAATTGTCTCCTGCAAAGCTGTGATACTAGAACAATGGTTAGTGAAATTAGATTCCTTCTTCACACAACTTACGATGCCGATTATATTATACCAGCTGTCTTCAGTGGCATAAACAGAAAAATCGAGCGCATTCTTGAAAATGAGCAAACTCCTGATGTATTGGTTGTTTTAAAAACTGTTGTTAATTTAAGAAGTTTAGTTAAAATTCATGAAATGATTGAAAACTGGGGTGAGGCTAACTTTAACTGCCATGTATTAAATCGTTTTGAAACCTTATTGTTATGGCTCTCAAATCATTTGAGATATGCTAGTTACCAGCAAATTATGGAATCAGAAAAAGCAATTGAAGTATTAGAGAATCTTGTTAAAAAACAAGTAGAGCTGTTCTAGGAATGTTTGAGGTGTCTAAAATCTTTAATAATATAATCAAGTTATTTATGAATAATCTAGATTTTTTTTTTTGGTTTGGTGAAAATCATTGTAATACTGGAAAGGTGTGACTTAGTACAACTTAATTTATTTATGTTATGTTTTAATATTTCAAAATATTGTTATGTTTTTCAAATTGATTAAAATTAGGAAGTTAACCTGAATAATAAAATAAGTTCAAAGGAAGAGCTTGAGAATTTTTGTTAAAAATTATTCAAATGTTTAAGTAAACTGTTAGGAGTTTTTAATTTATGAGAAATGCATTATTTTTTGAAAATTGATGGCATCACTAATTTTAGTGCCATATGAAAAATCATTTAACTTCCCTATATTTTCAATTATTCAAATTTGAAATAAAATGGTATAAAATTTGAAATAACAGGCAATTTAAATCATACTTTGCATTTGAACTGTATTTAAATTTTTTATCAGTACATTTATGTCAGATGCCAGGGTTTAATCCAGGTAGAAATCGAGTTCATATTAGAAGATCATACTCAAGGAGGAGAAACGAGGGATACTTGCTCTAGGGCCTAGTCTTAAATCCATACAAAAGTTTTCTTTTTTCTTATTTTTTTAATGAAAACTGAAGCTTGTGTAACTAAAACTTACATGATAAAAATGTAGCTGACATGAAAACTGAACCTTACATACCTTTAAAAACTACACTTATGAATAAAGGCTTCTTAAAATTTCTACACAAAAAGAAAATAAGATTTTTGTTTTGTAAAATGCCCGCATTAAACTTAGTCCCTTGCCCTGTGTTCGGCTTTAACCTTACTATTTGAAGAGCCCTTCACCGAATTCTTAAAAAGAGTCATTTAATAAATTTCCAATTGTAAATACTACTATTCTAGATTAAATCGCAAAAACTTCCTTTCAATGGTTTCCTACTTTTAGTATTTTATCAATTTATTGTTCATATGTACTTGTTTTCAAACACTATTGATGTTCAAAAATATATAGTGACTGCTAAAATTGAATTTCTTTAAAGATTAAAGTAAATATAACAAAATTATTTCCTCTTTTTTTTCCAGAAAAACAGGCCCTAAAGAGATAAACTTGGATTTTTCCTTGAATGTAAATATTTTGAGTAATCGTGTGTTTTATGTTTTTTCAGCATTTTATTCAGATAATTATGTAATTGAAATCAATTATTAATAACTTAATTGTCTAACTTTTCACAGTTTAGTATACAAAGTGTTTTGTAATGACCAGTTTTAAAATCTATTTTTAGAGTAAAAAATAATTTTTTCATTAAGGTTTGGAAGTTTATCGAAGTAAAAAAGAATGTAATGAATTTGCTCAAGAAGCTTGTGGTAAATTTTCCTTCAACCAAAAATTTTATTTGTTATTCTGATTTTGGCATTCTTCTAATCACTTTTTATTTCCTTGTAATATATTTTCTTTTATAGATATGTTTAGTTAATTAAAATTTTCAAAAACTGGTTTATGTGAGGAAGAACTTGTAAGGTGGTTTCTGAGAACTGGTGGTTTCTAAAGTGGTAACTTATTTAATAAATCCTTTTTTGATCTTTTTAATCCTTCATTTGCACTAACCAACTAATGGTGATCCTAAATGTAAGTACTTTATAATTTAAATTTTTACAGTGATTCTAAAATTGATCTTAAATGTGGTCTTAATAGTTAATTATGTTTCCTGAAATGTTCTAATCAATATCTCAATTTTAATATTTAATGCTCATTCAATTTATGAAGAAAAGAGTTTAAATCTGATTATTTTCAATTTTTATAGAAATTATTTTTTACTCGATGTGCACACAATATTGTATTAAATATATCAAATTATTTTTGAAAGATAATTACATCTTTTTAAAGTTTTGACAACAAATGTAATATTTTTCAATAGATTACTATTTATTATTTTTAATAAATATTTATTTAATCTTATATTGTAGTCTTACTTTAGCATCACAGTTTATTTTATACCATTCGTATTTTTCTTCTGAAAAGAAAAAAAAATTGTGCTTCCTACTCCCTTTGCTCACTAACCCTTGATCACTACATAATCATTTTTTGTTTCTTGACAATAAAGAAATTGTTTAATATATTGACACAGTTTTAGTTAACTATTCTACTAGGATAAAATTAAAACCTAATAATTTTGTTTGGTTACTGTAGCATTTTTTTTCTTTTTTATTTTCACTTTCATTTTTAAAAATTTTATTCATATTTAAATGAAAATTATTATGTTGTTTAGAATTATTTTTAGGTTAACAAGTTTTATTATGTAATTTTTTTAAACCTACTGAATTTGTTCCAGAAATAAGGCGAAAAAATGATTTTATAACAAAATATTTTTGCACAATTTTTTAATTTTCTCCTTTAAAAATTGTGCCATAAACAAATTCAGAAAACCGATTCTAATCGATTTGCCTAGAATGTTACTGAAATTATGGGTGGTCTATTTAAATTTAAGACATCGTTACGACAGAGTCAAGTCGATTCGTCTCTAGCACCATTCATCGTGGGTACAATTTGTTGCATACGCAACTCGTTATAGCAATAATTTCTTGCAGTTTCGATTCAATACATCTGTTTATTAAGTTAAAACTCTAGCAATGTCTACAAAAGCTAACTAAGTATTTAACTTTTGGCTTTTCAATTATTCCAAAAGCACCTAAGGGTGTGTTCTGTTAGGAATAAGGAGTGAATGGAGTATTAGCAATGCTTGCATGCACTATAATCTTATTTTTCAAGTTTTTTTTATGTACAAAGATTGCTGTGGCTAATTAATAACATCCAGCATGATAATTTCTTGAAAAAAAATATTGGTTTTAAATTATTTTTTAACTAGCTTTAACTTGACTAAGCATAATATTTGTCTTGAGAAATATGCTTTCCCAATGGTCCTTGCAGTTAAAAACATTCTAGATTGTCAAATTTATTTTTTTTAATCTGAATAGTTCCCTAAAACAAATTTTTTTAAAAGGAATAAAAAGATACTAAATTTAGCAATCACACATAAAAATAAAAGCCTTGCAACAGACACTAAGGGTATGAGACATCGCGGAAACAAGGGTTTTTAGAGTGTTAGTTAAAGTTAAAAAAAAAAAAAAAAAAAAAAANAAAAAAAAAAAAAAAAAAAAAAAAAAAAAAAACAGAATTTTCAAAATATTTTTTGATCTAAAAATAGGCCGGATAGGTTGTTGGGGCCATGCTCGAGAGGTGAGTTCGATCCCTTCCGTCCGAAGAGCCCCCTCCCCGTGTTCAAAATGATGACTGATGCACGCTAAATCTGTCGGAGTCACACAGTCCTCCAATTTCCCATAACAAATCAATGTCTCTGGGAGTATTGGATCGGAGATTTGTCTTGCTCTGGCTCAGGTCTAAAACACGATCTGCGGTTGGATGGATGGTTTGTGAATGTGTCCTCCCTGTAAAACGGGATGTAACGTATGTATGTGTCTCTGGATCATCCTTGGGAATATTACCCAGACCGCCGTCAATAGCCCATTGTGCAGCTCTAGTGCGTCGCAAATGTGCCTGTACCTGATCAAAAGATCGGAATTTTTGTGCATTACAGTGATTAAAGAGGCTGACTTTAAATTAAGCTAATAAAACGATCTTATGAACACATAAAACGAAAGCTCAGTATAATGAGTTTCTCAATATAATGAATTATTACCTGAAATCAGCTGTTAACGATAATTTTCCAAGTTGTCGACGAAATTCTAATTTAACATTATGAATTTTCGAATAAATGAGACTGTGTGATTACCTGCTCTACACTTGGTTTTACTTTTATTGGTCAGCTGTCAAGAACGATTTGCATAAGTCAGTTGTTCCTTAGCAATGTATTGAAATCAACATTCACCGTTATCAATGACTTAATTTTCTTTTTACAAACCTTGCTTCGTTTTGGAAACTTGTTCATACATTTCTGTTATAGAAATTTCTGTCTTTTTATGAAGTACAGATCTACTTAATGCAGTCTAAAATGTGTAGACAAGAGCAGTTTACTGCTAAATATGTATTTTAAATCAAAATCGTTGTTCTAGTATAAGAAAAAGAGATAAATGTATGTAAACAGGAAGCTATTTATAACGATAATTTTATCTGATATAAGAAATTGTCGTTATGACAGACTTCAATTTGTACTTTTTCTAGAGACAAATCAGGTCCAAATAGTTAGTCAATTACTAGGCAAGCACTTGAGCCTTTTTACTGTTAATTTTGCATTTATCCCCATTTTTCTTGAACTATTTAAGCTAGTCATAAATTATTAGCACTGAGTGAAATAAAAATTTTTTTGTTCAGGCATGTGATTTTTCCGCTAATCAATAATTTATATTCCGACAAAATTTTCTCTGAGTTCTAATCTGAACCGATTGCGTAACTTAAGCAAAATCCCGTTAACCGGACCTTTATTCCGCCGTTACCAGCACGATAAACTTCACGAACACGAGACGAGAGCTGGAAAAAAAAAAAAAAACATTTCCTAATAACTTCCAAAATTAATGAACTACTGAGGCACAAGTATAAAATTGATTATCTAAAAATTAATTCCGATATGGCAAAATATTTTTTAAAAAATCGTTCGCAAAAAAAGTTACAGTTTAATGAGTAGCAAGCTAGATGCAAAATTCCGATTTGTAGCATTAGAATTATTTAATCAATGTGATACTTAAGCCTTTTTTATTTGGCTACAATTTAACTAATTTTAAATTTCAAATCGCGCATTTTAGAAATAACTTCTTGACACGATCGTAATTCCATGTTTCGATCAATCTTTTTTTTTTCTTTCTTTTTTTTTGCAGTTAATGCTGTTGATTTTCTCATGGTTTTTAAAATTCCGACGTCAGGACACGCGAAGTTTGAATCGCGCGTTTGAGGAATCACTTTTTCATGAGGTAAATTTGCGTTGTTAATTCATCGTTTTATCGGCTATTATTGCCACGAATTTTCTCAATGTTTTTTTTTAACTCCCTATGTTTTTTATACGTTATTACGACACGCAAAATTCAATTCGTGCATTTATTAGTAACTTTTTGACACGAAGATGAAACAATTTTTTCGATCAACTTTTTCACTTATCGCTACTGATATCCACATAGTTTTTTAAATACCGATATTTTCATACGTCATTACTGAGAAACGAGAAAATTGAATAGCATATTTCAGTAAATACTTTTTTACGCGCTGAATCCATGCATCAAATGCTATCCATTTTTTTATTATTATAATTTTTTTTTTTTTTTTGTAAATATTGATTTTTTACAAGATTTTTTTTTAATCCCGTTGTTATTATGATACGGGAAATTCAAATTGCGCGCCTGAGTATTAACTATTTGACACGATAATTATATCCTTTATTCTCACAATGAATTTTGCTCGACGTATTGACGCAGTACAATTTAAAAAAATTAACATATTTAAATTGATATCTAATTTAGAAAAATAATACATTTTATTTTTAATTATGTTCGAATATATAAAGAGAAAATAGAATTTTTTACACAGCCAGGGTTGGATTTCCCATTAGGCCATTGCCTGGGACCCCCTTAAAATGGATTTTTTGGAAATAAATTTAAAAAAGTTGAGAAAAATGTTATGATTATTTTTTAGTTTTAATTTAATAAAATAAAGTAAAATTTGATTTATTAGTATTTATTTTAATTTCAAATATGCTTTCTTTAATGAAAAGAAATATAAAATACTTTTATATTTGAATAAATAAAAAATATACGAAAAAAAATTTAATCTAAGGGCCCCCAAAATTTGAATGGCCTAGGGCCCCGCGAACGCTTCATCCGGCCTTGACACAGCTAAATAAAATTAGCACAATAAAACAATTGCATTTTTTATTTTTAACAACTTAATAAATGATTCACAGAAATTTATTATGTCGTGTTGCTTTACAATCACCAATAAATGTAATTACAGAATATGAAGACAATATTTCAAAGATAAGTAATTAATGCCTGGATTTTCATTGTGCTTTTTCTGATTCCTCTAGTACCCTTTTCATTTTTGAAAGGGCTGACAATCTAGCATCTCGCCATTGGCGTCGTTCTGACATTTTCTCAAGAGGACTTATCTTGCAAATGTCTTCATCCAATCTCTGCAATTCTTCACCTTCCATCAGAGGATTGGGCCCAAAGGTTTGGGAAACTTTGTAAATACCTTCACCATATCGGTTGCAATAATCACGCATGCCTAATGAGATTAAAAAACATACACACATATATGTATGTAGAAAGATTATATATATATATATACTAGTAGGCTGCGCCCCCTGCTCGCCAACTCCCGAAAATTTCTACGCAATCTTATATGGTTTGCTTCGCAAACCAAGCCCGCTTCTCTCGCTACTAACTTAGGTACATTGCAAATGCGCAACATTCTAAGAATTCTAAACAATCATTCAAATCCATATAAAAACCTTTTTTTTTTAAAAAAAAATTACATCTTTTTAGTAAATACTAAGTCATTAAAATAAATTTGAATTCAAATAAATTATATGTAATTCATTAAACCTATTAGAAATGTGCTATAGTATAATTCGTGATATAAATCACAAATCGCCAATAAATTCGTGAAAAAAAGCGCTTTTGACAAGATACTGAAATAGAGATCTACTAACAAAGACTACTCACTTCTGCCTAGCTTAATAGTATGAGATTGCCGCAGCTGATACTCTCTGGTTATTTCAGTTTCCGTTATTAAAAGCGCTATATGTTGAGCCACCTCGGCTAGATTTTGCATGTGACATTTTTAGCGGCAATCATTGGTCGATTTTCTAGCGTTGCCATTCGGGGAGTTGAAATGAGGCTTTTTTTTGTCGCCGTGTAAGAGAAATAGTAACGTAAACAAAACAAAGCAAACGTTGCCACCGGCTGAAAAGAAATACAGCCAAAATTTGGGAGCCACGTAAGAGAATTATATATATTAGATATTAATTATAAAACATCCATAATCACTACCTTTAATACTTGTAGCACTTCTGGTTTTCTTCGGAAGATTTTATATTTAATTTGGTCGCAACTTTTATGATTTTAATGAACACCATTATTATGATGATTATTGTTATGATTAATAAATAATTTCACTGAGCAGTAGTTCCTAAATGATGTTACGAGGAACCCTAGGGTTGAGTGGAAGGGGTTCCGCGAGTTAGAACTTTTTTTAACCAGTGATAATTTTTGGAACCTTTAAACAATATTTAAATCCAACCAATAATCTATTATTCATTTAATATTTTGGTTGAAATTATAAAATTATTTAAAATAAAACAGGTATAAAAAGAAATTAATGACATTTTTTTTTAACAAAAAATATATAAATTTTTTCTAATAACATATTGTTATGAAAAGGTCATAATAAAAATATCAAAATCTGTCGAATCATCAGTAATGAACATCAGGGTGAATAATATCAAAACCAGATTGATTAACAAATTAAACTTAGTGTTTCTAATAAATGACTTTTTTACGGTTTTTATGCAAATTTTGCTGTTTTTAGTCCCGTCTTCTTCTAATGATAAGTTAGAATTCGATAGCGCCCGCCCAGCGGTTAGCGTGCCTCACTGCAAAGCCAATGACTGCGGGTATGAATCCCGATCAGGGCATGAACGTTTTTCTCTGTGTTTGTCCTTTGTTGGGGGTGAATGTGACCCACCCTATAAACGGTAGTTCACCCTTTAAACGGTATTGGGTCCTCCATGACTCTGGTCACAGGGTGCTCACAAGGCAGTGTTGCCAGGTGCTGATAACCATTCACCCCCAGATGACGTTGTAAAATCCCCTAAAAAATTTTTAAAAAAAACCCAAATTTTTAACCATATGTATAAGTATTAAAAAATAGTACAAAAGTTAAATAATGTATAGAAAACGTTGCTTTAATACTTTTTAATATTTTATTATCAACAAATTAATCTTTTTTACATTTCAATCGTTACATTATCTTTAATTTCTACTAAAATATTTAAGATATTTTTTTCAATACTTTTTGACTTGCACATTTTTTCATAAATATTTTATTATCAACGATATAGTCTTTTTTAATATTTTAATTCTAACATTATGCTTAAATTTTTGATAAAATATCCAACATATTTTCGTCAATACTTTCTGATTTGTATATGTTTTCGCTGTTAAACATTTTTAACATAGAAGAAGTAGATACAAAACCCTTAAACCTTTAAATTGCTTTTCGTGTTCCCAATCTTTCTTGTACTTTTGTACGTACTTCTTTTTTTCTTTATCCTTTGGCATTATTTTTAAACCATACACATTAAAATTTTTAAATAATTTGAATTCAAATTCTCCAAACGGTTGTTCGAGCTAAGTAATGACCTACTACATTCAACAAAGGGGTAAAGGTCTAAAATTATATCTTAATCTTTATGTTTTGGTTTAACATATTGATTTTCATATTACCATCTCACACATTCAGTTATAGAATTTGATATTGGAAGGTAATCAAAATGAAACTAGTAAATTTCACAAATAACCCTAAAACAAACCCCTAAAAACCAATTCCCCTAAAATACCCACTGAAGATAAAAAAAAAAAACAAATCCCCCTAAATTTAAGGGGAAAACCCCTAATCTGGCAACACTTCCGTCACCTTCCATCTTGTGGTTCAATCTGCATCAATATTTTTAACAGGAAAAAAATGAAAATAATGTGAGTTATTTAAAATACCATAAATATATCTATTTTAAATTTACCATAACTAAGTTATTTAAATTATTATTCATTTAAAGGTTCATATTATTCGTTAGTAAGATAAAAAAAAATATTACCTTCAGCGTTTAAATGGCATGTCTCTAATGGTCCGATGAATGCATATCGAAGTCCTAAACCGTCGCATATTGATGTTTCAATGTCTTCTAATGACATAATTCCATCCTAAAAATGTAAACATAATTCTACAAATATATAAGGAGTACCTTAATTTCAACTCAAATCGAATTGTTTTAGAGAAAGTAAAAATTTGTTCAAAAAGCACTATTTTATTATGTGTAAAATTTAATATAGATATAAAGGAATGAGTGATACGCATTGAAATGTTACTCTGAGCAGAAAAATAGCGACGAAATTTCTTAATCGAAAAACGTAATAGACAAGCAAGCTAAAAGACATTCTGAAAATGTTTAAAATTTGAGTTCAGAGATTATTACAGTCAGAGTTGCTACAAGCTTATACTTTTGAGAGAAGGGAAAATTCTTATTTTGCTGAATGAAATATTGAATTTATCGAATCATGAGACTAGGGAACAATTTCTTTTTCCTATTGCATGAGATTTATTAACAGATCTTAGACACTATCGTATCCTGAAATAAAACTTTCTCTTGAATATAATTTCTACAGTTTTTTTTAATGTTATTTTTAGCTTCTTTTTTGTTAAAGTGTACAAGTTTAAAAACGTTATACGTTATAGGAGGTCGCATAAATGTTGCGAAAAATTTCTAGTGGAGTTAGGGCACGTCAGACTTAAAATTGCATGGGCACCCTGTCCGGAAATGTTATCATATGCCGCCAGAGGTACTTTGCTATAATGAACTGTTTCTTCGTGTGCTTCTGTAGAGGTCATACTAAGAATGCGCCTCTAGTTGCGGACGATATTTTCAGGCATGGGTCCTGCAATTTTAATCCTGATGTGTCATACCTCCCATAGATGTTGTTTTAACATTTATGTGACCTTTTGTTATATATAACGTTTTTAAACTTGTGCATTTCGGCAAAAAATAGACTAAAAATGTTATTAAAAATACTAGCTTTAAGAGCAAAACTAATATCAGATTTGAAATCTCCACACATAAATTAGGTAAAATCGAGTGTTTGTATAAATGAAACAAAAAATTTGTTCCACAGGGTATATTATTTTTTATTTATTTATTTTTGCGTATGAAATTGGTATTTAATCGTTTAATAATAATGGAATAATGAAAAGACCTTTTTAAAATTTTCTAAAAGAATGCTCGCTTATTGTGAAGAACAGATTTAGTTAAATAGCAGTTTATTTGCAAAGTTCCAGTTGCAACGCGTTCGGCAAAATATGAAATCGTCTAAATTTGCCGAATGTATGCAAAATGTTTCAAAACCCTGAATAGCAAACATTTTTTGATGTCACAATAACGTTCCGGCCATCTATGTAAGTGTAAAATGTTTTATTCCTTTTTCTAAACAAGTTGATTTTAAATGGAAAACTTTGTTATCTAAGCAGCTCACAGCTTTTGCATCATTTTCTTAAGTTGAAATTCCTTAATTCAGTAAAATTTTACTTAGCAAATTCTTTCACTATTAAGCTTTTAAATTCTTTGCGATAAGTAGAACTAATTTTTTCGGATCTCTAACGTATTTCTCTATTATTTCTTCACTTTGCTATTTAAACGCGTTTTAACATAATCCAAGTATGTGTTAACACATTCCTTTTGAATATTCAGTCAAAAGATAATGCTGTATGAATTGCAACTGAAAGATTTTTAAGCACATTTAAGTATTTCAGAAATTAGAAAGTTATAAATCTATATGCTTTTTTCCCGTAATATATATATATATATATATATATATATAACAATTTTTACTTTTCCTTAACGCCGGTAAGTGATATAGACACATTATAAAGAGTGATTTTTATCTTAGGATAATTATTCTTTATTCAGAAATATCGCATTTATCGTAAAGGATGTGTCCTGATGAAGACTTTTACGTTTTCCCATTAAAAGTTTTTCTATTTTTTTTCTTCTTCTTTGTATATATATATTATTCGATAAAAATGCCAATAGTTTTTTAAAAGAATTCATAAATATTTAAATAATTTTTATCGTCATAATGTAGATTGACCTTCAAGTAACAGTTTATGAAGTTATAAATGACTTTACATACCAAATTAAGTGGATTTTAGAAATTAGTTAACTCAGTTTTATTAGTCAAAACTACACTCATGTCCATAAATTAAGGATAATGAANGATAAAAAATAATTCAATATATAGAAAAATCGGTATTTTATTACTTCAATGCAGACTATTAGTTATTGTATTTGTCTCATAATCCAATTAATTTTTAATTAATTGGATAATTAATAAGTCAATCGAAAAATTAATTTTTAATTAATTATTTTTTAATTATTAATTAATTGTTAATTAATTATTAACTGATTTGCAATTACATGCTCCAATTAATTTGGAAAATTTTTGAAAAAAAAAAATTTTAAAAATCTGATGTCAATTTTTTTTAAAATTAACCTAACAGGTTTTTCTGAAAAACTACAGATCTATAAAATTTTCGAAATCAATTTCGACAATAAATGTGCATTATATAGTACGTAAAAGTACCACAAAATTAATTGGAGTGTGAGACAATTACAATAACTAATAGCCTGCATTGAAGTAATAAAATACCGATTTTTCTATATATTTAATTATTTTTATCTCTCACAGGACCTTCTATGGGCCGAAACGAATGTTTCCCCCTAAAATTATTCCTCATAAGGCATACATCCCACAAGTTTATTTCAAAATTGGCGAGTCACACTTCCCTAGTTTCCCTTGTGAGCAGAAAAATAGCGACGAAATTTCTTAATCGAAAAGAGTAATAGACAAGCAAGCTAAAAGACATTCTGAAAATGTTTAAAATTTGAGTTCAAAGAATATTATAGTGAGTTGCCACAAGCTTAAATTTTTAAGAGAAGGGAAAATTCTTATTTTGCTGAATGAAATTCCGAATTTATCGAATCATGACACTAGGGACCAATTTCTTTCTTCCTGTTGCATGAGATTTATTAACAGATCTTAGACACTATCGTATCGCTGAAATCAAACTTTTTCTCTCCAAGTTACAGTTTTTTTTAATATTATTTTTAGCTTCTTTTTTGTTAAAATGTACAAGTTTAAAAACGTTATACATTATAGGAGGTCGCATAAATGTTGCGACAAAGTTCTAGGGGAGTTAGGGCACGTCAGACTTAAAATTGCATGGGCACCCTGTCCGGAAATGTCATCATATGCCGCTAGAGGTACTTTCCTATAATTAACTGTTTCGTTGTGTGCTTCTGAAGAGGTCATACTAAGAATGCGCCCCTAGTTGCGTACGACGATATTTCCAGGTATGAGTCCTTCTGCAATTTTAATCATGATGGTGTGTCATACCTCCCATAGATGTTGTTTTAACATTTATGTGACCTTTTGTTATATATAACGTTTTTAAACTTGTGCATTTCGGAAAAAAATAGACTAAAAATGTTATTAAAAATGCTAGTTTTAAGAGCAAAACTAATACAGTGAAACCTGCCAAGTTGACCACCCTTGTAAGTTGGGCACCTGCATAAGTTGACCTTAATTATCAAGAACGGAGTTTTTCCTACATAATATAAAGAAGCAAAACCTTTTTAACTTGAGCACCTGTCTATCTTGTATGTTGACCACTGAAATAAGTCAATTTTATCTAGGAGTATTATGAAATTTTATTCTAAAACCCTCATAAGTTGACCAGAAATGAAAAAAAAACTCAGAAAATTTTCTGTCATTTTGGCAATGTATGTTAAAATTTCACTTGTTTGGTGAAATTGTGTAAAAAGCTAATCTAAACCCTTTTGTGAGTTGACCATCAGGGGAAACTGTAAGGCAGTGTTTCCCAAAGTGTGGTACGCGTACCCCCAGGGGTACGGGAACAGTTTAGCGGGGGTACGCGTTCTTATGCGAAATAACTTGCAACAAACGAGAAATTCAAAAATTTTTACTTAAAAACAAAACTAGCCATGAAAATTTACGATTAAGTATTTTTCTATTGGCTATTTTTTGCAGAGTTAACAGTTACTAATTAGTGGTGTCAAAAGCCAGTTGTGATTTTTAACTTCTGTGCAATATTTTTATAGTAAAAAATACATTCATTTTTTTATTAGTGGTACACAGCGCCACGAAAAATTTAGAAAGGGTACACAAAAGTCATAAGTTTGGGAAACACTGCTGTAAGGGGTCAGCTTTTGATCATTTCTTTCATCCGTTCATTGAAAACAGGTGTGTTAGTTGAAAAGTTGCTATACCAGTTGCAATAGTGAGCATTTGAATAAATGAATGCTCTGAAATATGCTTTGATCCTTTATTTATGGTCTTTGATCTTTAAGTGTAGTAAATAAATTTTAAAGTGTTCAAATAATTTTATTTTGTTAAAGTTTTCAAATTACATGTTTTCGTGTTCTGATATTTTAAGAAATTATATTTATTGAACACTTCACATGCATAACGAAATAATTTTTTTTTTTTAAAATTTGTTAAATGTTAGAAGTATATGTATCAAATTGAAGTTCATTCAGGTTCAAGCACATTTCTTAAGATATTAATTTGCATATTTTCTGAATAAAATTTTTAAGTCAAGTTAAAAAGAAAAAATAATAAATATATAGCAACATGATATAGGAAACGAAAAAGTAAACAATGACCCACCCCCTCTCTAAGTTGACCACTTGTCTAAGTTGACCACTAAAACAATGCACCACAAGTGGTCAACTTACACAAGTTTTACTGTATCAGATTTGAAATCTCTTCACATTAATTTAATTAAAATCAAGTGTTTGTATAAATGAAACAAAAAATTTGTTCCGCAGTGTAAACTATTTTTATTTATTTTCGCGTATGAAACCAGCATTTAATCATTAAATAATAATAGAATAAAGAAAAGACCTTCTTTTTAAAAAAAAATTCTCAAAGAATGCTCGCTTACTGTGAAAAGAACAGATTTAGTTAAATAGCAGTTTATTTGCAGAAATCCAGTAGCAACGCGTTCGGCAAAATATGAAATCGTCTAAATTTGCCGAATGTATGCAAAATGTTTCAAATCCCTGAATAGCAAACATTTTTTGATGTCACAATGACATTCCGGCTACCCAAGTTACAGCCATCTATGTAAGTGTAATTTTTTTTTTCCTTTTTGCCAATTCTTTAAACGAGTTGATTTTAAATGGAAATTTTTTTTATCAAAGCAGCTCACAGCTTTTGCATTATTTCCTTAAGTTGAAATTCCTTAATTTACTAAAATTGTACTTGGCGAATTCGTTAACTAATAAGCTTTTTAATTCTTTGCGATAAGCAGAACTAATTTTTTCGGATCTCTAACGTATTTTTATATTATTTCTTCACTTTGATATTTTAACGCGTTTGAACATAGCCCAAATATGTGTTAACACATTTCCTTATGAATATACAGTCAAAAGATAATGCTGTATGAATTTCAACTGAAAGATTTTTAAGCACATTTAAGTATTTCAGAAATTAGAAAGTTATAAATCTATATGCTTTTTCCTATGCCTATAAAACATTTTTTACTTTTGCTTAACGCCGGTAAGTTTGTTTTCTGCTTCCCTTTATTTCTAACTCATTTTCAACTGCATTTTTATTTTTAGTGATATAGACACATTATAAAGAGTGATTTTTATCTTAGGATAATTATTCTTTATTCAGAAATATCACATTTATCGTAAAGGATGTGTCCTGATGAAGACCGTTACGTTTTCTCATTAAAAGTTTTTCTATTTTATTTTATTTTTCTTCTTTCTGTGTATCTATATATTATTCGATAAAAATGCCAATAGTTTTTTTTTAAAAAATCATAAATATTTAAATAATTTTTATCGTCATAATGTAGAATGATCTTCAAATAACAGTTTATGAAGTTATAAATAACTTTATATGCCGAATTAAGTGGGTTTTGGAAGTTAGTCAACTCAGTTTTATTAGTCAAAACTAATTTACATAGATATTTAAAAAACGTCTTACCTGATATATTCGATAACACTCATCAATCAAAGCGTACTGAATTCGATTCAGTGCGAATCCTGGTAATTCTTTCTTTAGTACGACAGGCTTTTGTCCTATTTCAGCCATTAGAGCCCTTGTTTTGTCTACAACAGAGGGATCTGTCCATGGTGCAGGCACTATTTCAACAAGAGGCACGTAATAAGGTGGATTAACCTGTAACAATTAATTATTTATTATAAGATTTGTAGAGAAAAAAATCTAAAGAAGTCATATAAGTCATTAAAGACTTAATAAATTATAACTGCTGGTTTGGTAATTAACGTCATAATGGAGCCCCCCCCCACTTATGTGCTATTGGCGACGGTTTGGGATTCATTCTTAATTATGATCCAAAGACAATTGGCGCATTATGTTATTACTATTTCAGTGTTAGAAATCCACAGTCGTTTAGCCGTGCGTGGATTTTTCTAGCTCTGAAACCTCTGGAGACATTACATTGGAGTGAATTTTCAACTTCTACACGACACAGTTATATTGGAATTAGAACTTCTAAAAGACACAGTTATAGTGGATTTCGAACTCCTAAAAAAAACGGTTATTGTGGATTTAGTACTTCTAATTAACACGATTGTAACGGAATTCGAATTTCCAAAAAACACAGTTATAGTGTATTTCGAACTTCTAAAAGACACGTTTATTGAGAATTTCATACTTCTAAAAGACACAATTATAATGGATTTCAAATTGCTAAAAAAACACAGTTATAGTAGATTTCGAACTTCTAAAAGACACAATTATAGAGGATTTCGAACTTCGAAAAGACACAATTATAGAGGATTTCGAACTTCTAAAGGCACTGTTATAGTGGATTTCGAACTTCTAAAAAACACGGTTATTGTGGATTTAGTACTTCTAATTGACACGATTATAATGGAATTCGAATTTCTAAAAAACACAGTTATAGTGTATTTCAAACTTCTAAAAGACACGTTTATTGAGAATTTCATACTTCTAAAAGACACGATTATAATGGATTTCAAATTGCTAAAAAAACACAGTTATAATAGATTTCAAACTTCTAAAAGACACAATTATAGAGGATTTCGAACTTCGAAAAGACACAATTATAAAGGATTTCGAACTTCTAAAGGCACGATTATAGTGGATTTCGAACTTCTAAAAGACAGGGTTGTAGATCGCGACAGTTGATCAGACACCAGGCCTATAGGACACTTAGAAGAATAAAACCATCGTTGGTAAAAGGGGAACCTATCACGCCAACTCATCAGACTAAAACTGTTATTTCTGAAAACGGAAATAGCAATTTTACAGTTAAGACATTGTAAGCTTTCAAAAACTACTTTGAGATACGCATTTCTTAATGAAAAATATTTCATGATAAAGGTCAAGCAGGGGGTTAAAATAAGAAAATTAAAATTATCTTATAACTGAGTAGTAGAAAATCCTCTACTTGAAGTTAAGGCATTCAAATTGTTTCACAATTTTCAAAATTTCCTTAATTTTTCGCAAACAAAACGGTTAATGAAATTCTTTAACTCTTTGAAAAGGATGTGACACCGGTGTCCTTTCTGTAAATATATTTTTGTGACGCTCTAATTACGAGCAAAAATATATTTCGGTTACTTTTTAATTTTAAAAAACAGTCTAATAATTACTAAAAAAATCAGATTATCGGAATTATATTTGTACAAAGCATAAAATCCAAAATAAGATGAATTTTTTTTCATTCGTATTCAAAAAATTAAAAATAATGTTAAACTCCGTAGCCTTATAATTTTGAACACAATACAGAAGACAAGGGAACTCCTGGATCAAGTATTGGGAGAAATTTGTCTTCGTTGAGGACTTTTTGATTAACTAGTCCACATTTGCCTTACATGGAGAGGAAAACCACGAGAACCTCCCACGGTTAGCCTGATCCGTCTACCATTGAGGATATTTCACGTCAGCACTGTGGTCGGTGCAATTAGGATGCGAAATTCGTATCTACCAGCCATCGCTGGGATTCGAACCCGGTTCACCTCATTGGAAGGCGAACGCTCTATCTCCTGAGCCTTCCATGATTGATAACTGCTTCTCCTAGTAACATTGCAATTTTGAAAAATTGTATGGAAGATTTTAATTTTATTCGTCGAAAAAGACGCAAAAGTTTCATGCTGTATTTCTTAACATAAATTATTATAATGCTCAATATAATATTTTTCATTTACCACTTACTTTACCTAAATTAATACAAAATAATGAAAAATATGTTTAATAAAAATTCCGAGTCAAAGGTTAAAATATTCTTTTGGTGCATTTGTTCGTTGTCGATACTGGACAATAAAATCCACCGAAACTTAAGCACTATTTAATTTTAAATTACGAACGGTCAAAAAAAAAAGCTTACTGGATGTCCAACTACTACTTGTGATCGATGCACTAACTCCTCCGTAAATGAAGAAGCCGGGAAACAACTCGTTGAACTACATAGCACGCCATTTTTTGAAACATACTTATCCATGTCCTTAAAAACTTCCTTTTTTAACTCGACATTTTCAAACACGCATTCCTGTAAAATAAACACGTAATTAAAATTTTATAAATAAAAAAAACTGTAAATCAAATAAAGTTTTAGGTAATTCTCAAAGGTTTTATAATTTCCATCGCAGATTCTAATAAATTACTGAGGGGGAAAAAACAATAGGCATTACAGATTTTTGTTTTTTGTGAAAGCTATACTGCTGAGAATATTAACTAAGAACAAGGACATTTTTCTTACTCATAGATGTTTAAAATATAACCTATATATACACCGAAGAGCCATTACATTATAACCACCCTCTATCTATAACAATGGGCTCGCCCAGGAACAATGCTTTCATGGGGCACATTAGGACCCATAATCCTCATAGAACAATCCCTGACATCTGTAAGCTACTTGAACATAGTTGCAGACCAAGTATACCCATTCATGGCAACAGTTTTTGCTGCTGGGGATGGTGCTTACCAACAGGATAATGCACCGTGTCATGAGGGTCGAATCGTCATGGATTGGTTCGAGGAACATTCCAATGACTTTCAAGTCATGTCTTGACCCCCTAATTCAACTGATCTTAATCCTATAGAGCATTTGTGGTCCTACTTGGAAAACCAAATTCGTGCTGCCACGCACCTTCGCAATGTGAGGGAATTGCAAGACCAGTTGGTGAGCACTTGGTACCAGATACCTCAGACTACCTATCAGCACCTTGTGGAATCAATGCCATGACGGGTGCCAGCAATTTTGAGGGCCAAAGGTGGTCCTACATGTTATTAGTAAGGTGGTCATAATGTAATGGCTCTTCGGTGTATATATATGTATATATATATATATTAATATGAGCTATGTATCGTGCCCATATATGTAGCTCATATTAATTGAATGGCTTGGGGGCCATATATTGATAAGACATATTTTAAATTGTTCCTAAAAGCGTTTTCGATAAAGAAGAAAAACATGACTTTAACGTCGCAAATAAGTTGTTTATGTGTATTGTGCTTTTATCTAAAGAAAAATCCTCAGAAACTTGTAAAGTAACAAAAGTAACTAACTGAAAATAACACTAAGGAACAGTTTAATGTACAAACGTCACCTTTAGGGAAGGGTTTGGTTGTCACTATAACCCAAAAGCTCTTCAATTATGAAAAATTGACTCTTAGGAAACAAAAAATTTATTATAAAATAAAAGATTATAACTTTATTAAAAAAATAAAATTATCAAGGTTTGCCAACTCAATGTCAAAAATTCTTGACCTAATCTTTGGTCAGGACCTATAGGTTAGAAACGAAGTTAATCTATAAGTTGGAACAAATATGTACTCACTATTATAATCTGTATTATCCGTATATAAATATAGAGAGTGTTCTGTAATGGTCGCTGCTCTTAATATATATTTTTGAAAGGTCCTTGTCAAAAATAATGCAAAAAAAAAGCAATACATTTTGAGGGTCGTAAATTAATGTTTGAGTGAAGGAAAGGCAAAAACACTTGCTAAATCTATGAAATCACTAATGAGGAAAGCGGGGTAAAAAACTTCAAAACTGAACTTCGTTTGGCGAGCAGCAAACGGATAAGTACCATTTATTTTATGGGTATCCAACAAATAAAAATTGTGTATTGTGCTTCCATTTGAGCATTTAAATCAAATTAGATATGTTTTTCTGTGTGTTATTGGCTACGAAAATTAGAGTTTTATTTTTAGTGCATTTCTTTTAATGTGTTAGAAACCTGAAGAAAAAAAAATCTTCCTCTTAATTATCTCTACTGTTGTTACAAAATCCAAGCCCCCGTTAAATACCACAAACATTCATAACAGTGATGTCGAATGTCAATGAGGGGGTTGTTCAGAAAACTTCCTCTATGCTCAATGTCCAATTTCGGACGTGATAATTTTGAATATTTGAGCAATAAAACTTAGCATTTTATTGTATACGATTATTAATGTTCAGCTCCGTAGCCTTGTAATTTTTTATCTAATCCAAAAGACAAGGAAACTCCTGGATCAGTACCCGCAGAGGTATGATTTGTTATGGGAACATGGAGGACTTTGTGACTCAACAGATTTAACGTATAGCAGTCACCATTTCCTACACGAGGAGTCTACGTTCGGATAGATCTGTTGAGTCACAAAGTCCTCATGTTCCCATAACAAATCATACCTCTGAGGGTACTGATCCAGGAGTTTCCTAGTCTTCTGGATTGGTCCGAAATTACAAGGCTACGGAGTTGAACATTAGTAGTCAACTCAAAATTGGGTTGGCTGTTCAACGACGGTTATAAAATATAACGTGAACAAGATAAGAACGTTGATACATGAGTATTAATTTTCGCACTTTAATTGCCATGCTATAATTAAAAAACAGTATATTTTTAATCTTTTATTCATTTTTCTGTGTTGTTATACCCAACCGGAGAGTATGGTGGTCAGTGAGCTGACTTCAAGTCCCGGGTTCGTATCCCAGATTAGGTATGGATGTTCTTTCCTTTTCTTTTCTGTACTATCTATCCTTCCTACTATAGAAGCAATGTTGGCCCACCTAACGAGAGTGATCAACAAATTTGTCCTTTTGATACCCGAATGGCGAAAGTCAATATCCGGATGGGTTTTGGAAAAATTTATATAAAAAAAAGTTGTGTTGCTATCCTAGAAAGCATGAAATCTTACGACAACCTAGGGTCCGAATTTTCTTTTTATTGTCACTTACGTAAAATGGTCACTTAGGTCCATAACGTTTGACGTTTGTGTAACCATGTGTAACGTTGACGTAACCATGTGACGTTTTGGCTGACGTCACACTAGCTATAGGATCAAATTGCATTGTCCATTAAAATTTCCAGACAAGATGGATTTCAGCTGAGCTTACAAGATTTTGCGAAAAGAAACCTCATAATTACCTAGATTTAAGATTATTTTCACCTTGAGACTAGCCTTATTAAAAGATTTTTTCACACTTCAAAACCCTAAGTCAACCTCGATTTACGGTTTTTATACACTACCGGTCAAAAGTTTG